GTTAGTTTGTTTGCTTTGTTTTATAAACTGGAGAACTTTAAGAATAGCCAGAGATTCCGCAGAAAAGATACTAAAACATTCTGTTAGCTTCTCTCCGTAACCGAATTTTAAATGTGGTACGTAAAAAGCAAATGAAGAGGTAAATGCCGACTTTGAACCATCCGTGTAAATTGGTATCAAATCTTTAAAAGTGAAAATTTTCTGATATATTTCTTCTTTGGTTTTCAAGTTTAGGTCAATGTGAATAGGGATGGTAATATATTTGCTTTCGTAGCTTCCATTAAAACAAGTCCAGTTCTGTTCACTTGTATATAGTTTATTGCGCAGTTTTATTTCATTTATGTATAAAAAGTCATGAAGAATAAACGGGGCAGATAACGGAACGGAAGAAGATAGTTCACGAAAGGAAAAGGAATTATATAAATTATATATTTTTTTTAAAAGAAGATTTGGATCTAACGAACATAAATGGAGAAGAAAATTAAATTTTAGATATTTAAATCGCAGGATTAAAGGGGGAACATTACATTCCACCTGCAAGGAATTAATTGGAGTAGTTCTGAAAGCACCTGTAATAGTTCTTAAGCTGTGGTTCTGGAGAATATCCAATTTCTGGACCAACTTATCATTTGATGCGTAGCAAAGGAAACCATATTCGAAGTGACTGCGTACTAAAGACTTATACAAATTCAATAGTATTTTGGGATCTGAACCCCAATAGGTTGATGATAATGATTTTAAAATATTTAATGCCTTTGAAGCTCGTGCGGTAATGTGCTCGACATATTTATTCCAGGACATGTTTTTCATAAAAGTAACACCTAAAAATCTTACGGAGTCTGCAAAAGATAATTCTAAATTATTATAAAAAAGTTTGTAATGTTTTCGTTTAATGCCCACTCCATTAAAAATAACTACTTTGGTCTTATCAGCATTTATGTCTAAGTTTAAATATTTGAAATAATTATTTAATTTACTTAAAGCAAGATTTAATTTGTTTATAGTCAATTGTAAATCTGAGCCTGAGGAATAAACCACAAGATCATCAGCATATTGCAGGTTGCTTACTTCTGAACCCAAAACATAGTTGAGCTTGTTTATATACAACAGAAACACTAAAGGGCTTAATATCCCACCTTGACATACACCTTTAAAAGATTCTCTGGGGCCAATCAGATAATTTTTAACCTTGGCATAAACTTCTCGTCCATGCAAAAACTTAAAAATCCATAGTACGATTTTTTTAGGTAATCCTAGCAACATTAACTCTTTTGACAGTATGTGAAGATTGACATTATTAAACGCACCGATGATATCGAAAAAAATTGCGAACAATGTATTGTGTTGTTTAAAAGAATGAAAAATATCTAATTGAAGATGAGTTATACTCTCTCTAGCAGATCTACCTTTTCTAAAACCAAACTGGTTAGAGGGTAATATATTATTATGTTCTATATAGAATTCTAATCTCTGTTTTAAAAGTTGTTCAAATATTTTCCCCATACAAGATGCTAAAGTATGCCAGTATAGATTCTAGAAAAGTAATACTGAATATTTATAATTCTCTATGGGCTACAGATTTAATACCAACACAGTGGAAAACAGATTGTCTCATCCCTGCACTTAAACCAGATAAGGATAAGGATAATTATGAATCATACAGGCCAATAACTTTGACATCTTGTATGGAATACCGTCAAGTCCGCAAGCTGTATCTCTCCGTGAAGATATCGCTGCATTAAACTCCCCTAGTGTAAACTGATTTGTTAAGTATTCAGAGTGAGAAGCTGGTACAGACTGTTCAATTAAATTCAATGGAGACTCAACGGTGTCTGGTGTATATTTCTTAAGAAAATTATTGATCAAGTCTATGTTGGTTATGACATTAGTGCTTTTGGGTTTCTTATTAAATTTTCTCATCATAGACCAGATATATGATAAAGGAGTTGTTCTGTTGAATGTTTCAGTTAGAGAATACCAGCTCAATTTTCTCTCATTATTTAAAATCAGTTTCCTTTGTGCCTGTTTTTGTTTAAAAGTCAAGTAATTTACTTCACTTGGATCTGCTTTAAAATTTAAGTATGTTTGTTTGACATCTTTTACAGCATTTGCACAGTTTTGATTCCACCAAGCCAAAGGTATCCTTTGTTTTTTAGGTTTTGTCAAGGAGTGATATATATGTGAAGGTGCACACTTGTGTTGAATTAAAGTAGATTGTTCTGCAGTTACATTAATAATGGCAGTTAATTCTGAATATGACTTTAATGGATTGGAAAGGTCGAAGTTATGGTTTGACATCAAACTATCTAACACCATTGTATATTTTTTAAAATCAATGTTTCTACTACTTAAATGATGAGGAAAAGGTATATTGTTTTGATAATTAGGTACAGAATCATGAGAATTGTCCTTAATTAATAATTTTGTTATTACAGGTAAATGAAAGCTACCAAGTGGGTCATCAGTTACTATCCAGTCAGAATTAAGAGCCAAAGAAGGCGAAACAATGGTTAAATCCAAGGCATTGGGCTGCCAAATGTGTGAGCCAACAGTTGTAGGATGTCCATTATTAAGTATGACCAAACCATTTTCATCTGAACTTTCATAGATGTCACGACCCCTAGCATCGATAGATGAACATCCCCAAAGCAGGTGGTGGGCATTAAAGTCACCTGCTAGAAATATTGGTTCCGGAATATTACGGATGAGATTATTTAACTTTTTCTTTGAAAACTGAAGAGTGCAATTACCTGGACTATATAGACTTATTATAGATAATTCTTTATTACAATATTTTAATCTAATAGCAATATTTTGAAGTGAATCATCATATTTTGTTTGTATACTAGTGTAATTTAATTTATTGTGAATTAGTATGGCTACACCATTATGAGTGTTGCCTGAATCTAACCTAACCAAGTTATATTCTTTAAATCTTATTTTGTGATGTGGTTTTAGCCACGTTTCACAAATTACTGCAATGTGAATATTGTTCTCATATAAAAATTGTGAAAAAATATGTCTATGGCACATTAAGCTCTGAGCATTCCATTGAACTATGTTCAGACTGTCCATTAGTGTAATATGTTATTTTGTTTTTCTACATTAAATGTCTCTATGAGGATATCTTTGATGGATTTTGAATTGATTTCTTTTTGATTCAATTTATTGAGGGATATTAATTTAACTATTGAATTTAATAAAATGTCTAAAATTTTTTCTGAGTTTAATAGGGAAATAAATTGATCAGTTTGTGAAACTTTTCTATGTAGGGAGGGAAATGACTTTTCATTGACTACTGCGGAATATGCTCTCTTTTGAAACAAATCTGTGTTTTGTTTTAATTTTTGTATTTTTACTGGACACTCCTTCGATATAGCTATATGCCGACCCTGACAATGTAAGCAGGTAGCGTCTTTAGTGTCTATCGTACATGTTTTGAAGTTGTGGTTGCCTCCACATACTGAGCATCTTTCTGAGTTCTTACAAAATTTGCCAATGTGACCATACCTGAGGCACCGTAGGCATTGCTTCACTGGTGGGATGTAGGGTTTTACATCAAAACGCCAACTGTTGAGGTCTATGGATTCTGGCAGGACTGGGCAGGAAAAGGTAATGGACACGGTTAGGGTAGGAGTAATCTGAAAATCATTGTCAACTTTATTTCGTCTCATAAAACGTCTTATTTGTACTATGTGTTTTGTACTGGAGATGGTGTCATATATTTCTTGGTTCGATAGATTGATTGGAACGTGTGAGATGACTCCTGTCACCTCTGTGGCTCCTGCAGGAATTGTCGCTTTCATTTTATATGAATCCAAATATTTGGTGTTTGTGAGGGCAGCATTAGCAAACGAAGCTCGCTCAAATATGACTCCTATTTTATATTTGTTAATTCTTACCAATTGCTTAACTCCCTTATTATACCTTTTTAGGGAAGTGGACATACCCATCATGTCCCTGTCGCCTATCGGTTTCCCGGGATCTGTGGACTCAAAAAATACTATATATTCGAAGTTACCCCCATTTTCAGGGTAACTACGTGTATAGTTCAGTACTCTGAAAGGTTCGTATTTATTTGCAGCGGTACTGGTGGAGGATATGGAGTCGTTGTCCGAATCTGTGTTTTGTCGGCTTTCTTCTTCTCCGTCTTTTCCCTTCTTCCTCTTACGCTTCCCCATCGTAAAGCCGTTTGAAGAAAGTTATTTAACGAACAATATATGATTTTAAAAATTTATAATAAAAAATCGCGTCGTTCAGGTCGAAGTTTCCCGCGCTTTTTTTCCCAGAGCGAATGTTCACGCTAAGACGCTATATTGACATTTGGGAGCACGTTCTCAAACTCAAATATCGTCTCTGAATTTCAGCCGAGACGCATTACTACTTTGAAGCCTCTCACTCGGCTCGTTTTATTAACTCAGTGCGCGGTCCAGTTTAATGTACAAGGCCGTGATAATTACCCTTTTTTGTATACATTTTAATGAAAATGCATTGTAATTAATATTTACGAAAATAATATGGATACATACCATGAAATACCATGACTTTACATTTACCATTGATTGTAGTTGTCTCTCAAAAAAAAAAGTACACCTTTAAAAAAAATCTCGTGTCCGAGCACGAGTCACTCGTGCTCGAAATACCGATCGCAATCGCATGAGTGGCGATGGCGATGCGATGCACGACGCCCACGCGAATAGCGAAGTGACCGTTTACGCATGCGTGTCGTGCATCGCATCGCCTATCGCACGAATGTGTGAACGCGCTTCAACCACTCGACACATCTCGACACGAATGTTTCGACGAAACAATCGACTATAGTGTAAACGCGGTGCTACGTGTGGAAAAACGATATAGAATATGTAGAATAGCGAATATCTCTAGTGATTTCCGTATCCGTTACAATCGTAATTGTGCTTTTTTAGGAAACATTTTGCATACGCTATGCGAACAAGAGAAAGAGAAACATTTAAACCGACTAAAGTCCCATATATTAATCTGTATTCTCTTATTATTTATATGCCACAAAAGCTTTAGGTTTGAGGTTACAATTAATTTGTGCATTTGTGTTGCTGTCAATTCTTTTTGACTGGCACCGTGCAAGCTTAATAAATTGTATAGTAATTTTGTGGAATTAATAGAAGTAAACATGAGTTACTCTAAGTTCGATCTAACATTTAAAATCGGTCAATATTTAGACCGTCACCTTGTATTTCCTCTATTGGAATTTTTAGCTGCGAAAGAGGTTAGTTGTCCCAATCGTTGTGTCCTAGTATTTTGTAAACTTAAACGATTTGAGTCACTTCTTAGTCCTTTTATTAGTACCTCTTCTGCAACTGTTGGTAAAAATGAAACATCAGTGCAATATTTGATACATTTTCAGACCTATGACCAGTCTGAGTTACTTCAAGCAAAGTTGGAAATTCTGAGCAAGACCAACATGATTGACTATGTCATTGACATACGAAGAATGCTTTACCCCGAGGAGGATACTCCGGAGGTATTTGGTACCTTGTATATTCATTTTAGATGTGAGAATGTTATATATTTACTACCTTAGTAAAAGTATGTTTTGTACATGACAGTATTTTATATTCTTCAAAAAGTTTAACAATGTTCTTCATCAATTTAACTATATGTTACAACTATAATTATAACATATATTATATATGTATAATGATATATAATATGTTATATAAAATTGCTGACAATTTTTTTAGTGAATGGAATAGAATATTGTATATAATATAAAACTGATTCTTTTACTGTGTCCATCTGTTAAAACATTCTCTTTTTAAACCCTTTTTTATACCATTTCAGTGAAATGAATACTAAATACTCTATTACTTCAACAGGAAATAAAAGATCGGAGAGGTGTGGTACTCTCGCAACTCCAAGAACTTCAGGATGCCGTTGAACCAGTTCTACGACTCATGCAGAGAGATGATGTCATGAAGACTGTTGAAACCATGAGAGATCCAAAAACTCTAATCAACTACCTGACTACTAATAAGGAGTTTGAGGTCATTTGCTTTATGAACCTTCATTGTTGAATAATTCAGTAGATCAATGTATACTGTGGTATAGTAGAGGAACTATGCATTTTTAAAAAAGGCTATATGTATATACACAATAGACTTAGAATCTTAGAGGCAGGAGTGAGTTCTCTCAAGATAATAAATGTTAATAAATCTGTTAGTATCAACCCTCAGTTGCAGGCTGATGATAAAGATGTTGATTAATCAACATTAGGTGATCACTCTGTATGTACTGTTTCTTACATATGTACAAAGGTTTAAGTACTAAAATTTTCCATTTATCAAGTATGAAGAAATGGAACTTTCCATCTTATAATAAAATTATTATAACAATTTTTAATGTATACCTTATCTGATTATTTTCAGTTTAAAATAGAGATGATAGATAGCATGTATCGACTGGCAAAATACCGGTATGAATGCGGTAACTATGTCGAGTCTGCTTCTTATTTGTACTTCTGCCAGCTTGTCATGTCACCCACTGATAAGGTGAGTCATATTTTGACAGATACATACTGACCTACCAACAAATGGACATCGGGTTCATGCTAAAAAGTGTCCGCAATTATAGGGCGTTGAAATCTAATTTGGAACATCAATCGCACAACAGTCAGTCATGTCAGTTGTCAATCATGCAGTACTATATAATAATAACTTGTAAAAATAACTGCAGTAAAGTGTAAAAACATGATTTTGTATCATACATATTTTCACTAAACAAATATATTGTGTTATCATAGTCATCATTTAAAAATGTTATTTTGTACAGTTATACAGTATTTAATTTATATAAATGAATCGTAAATATAAATTACAACAGCAAACAAAATAATCATATACCTAACTTTAGTAACCTGTCCTTTTTTTCACATTGCATGCGCGACAAATGGAAAGAGACCCTTTATGTCAATTTCAAGAAGCTTATGTAAACTTCGTGGTCATTTTCAATTGTTGAAACCACAAATGAAATTTAGAACAAAATAACTATAGAGCCGCTTTGATTTTAATCTTATTTTTAAAATAATTTTTTGGTAAACATTAGCAATAACTAACTAAATATTGTTGTACTCGTTTTACGGCTTGGGATTACCCATCAGAAGTAAGAAAATACATTTGCCCCAAATAACGTTAGGTGTAATTTTCATTATGTCAAATGCATTTTTTTAGGAATATTCAAAACAAAAGCTAATTTTGTCTATGTCAAAAGTATCAAAATTACTTGAAAGCGTAACAGTTTTATTATAATTCGGTCTTCGGAATTACGGATATTTGAGTTTACGTTTAGTTGGGATATTGGTACATTTCTTAGAGTACATGCTTATTTTCACATTTGTAATATTTGTATGTATGTATCTGCCCCACTTTGTGTTTTTGGGCAGTACTGCAATGATGTTACAATTTAAATTAAATGTTTGTTTTTTTTAAATTTCGTTACATGTCACTATGTTTGTATGGTAAGAAAGTAGTAGTAAGTTGACCTTCAGACATTTTTTCGTGGTTTTTGTATTAGACCCGACGTCCATTTGTTGGTAAGTCAATGCAGATATACGTCTTTTTATTTTAAGGTGCTTTTTGACTAGAAAGACTTTTCATAAGCACTTTTTCATGTCTCCCCATTACCCCTTTCTAAATTGAGACTAATACCATAAAATTGTTTTGTAGAGGATGATTTTGACCTTGTTATTTGTGTAGTAACATTGTAGTACATTGTGATGGCTGTTGACAACTTTAGACATCTAATTACAGTAATTAAAACTACCTTCATAAAATTCATAGCTTTATTACAGCTAATAATCTCTCATACAGGTGTAATCCTGAACATGATATATCAAATAATAACAATCAATTATAGGTATTGCTGGTTATCCAAGTGGTTCACTTGGTAGTCAATTTCAGCAGTCTCGTAATAGTTGTTATTGTATTCGTAGTTTTCCTGTAAAGAAATTTAAATAAAAGAATTTTGTTTCGTCTAAGGGTGCGTACAGATCTGACAAAAGCGCCGTGAACTGGCAGTTAAATACATGTCAATTTAAGTAGCGTGCGAGTTAATACATAACACGTGAGCCTCCTTTTATGATGCCAATTTGTCATTATGAACGTCGTTGACATTTCTAAGTCTCGATGATATAAAAACTTCCGATTTTACATTGCATCCTAGTCATAAACAGAAAAACTTACGATTTTACATTGCATCCCAGAGTCATAAACGGAATGATGCTGACTCCTATGATTTTGAAGAGACGGTATGGCTGTGAACCATTGAGCGCAAATCTCGCACTGGTAAACTAATATTCCGAGGGCTTTCACACTACCCTTGTGGCAGTGAGTTTTGGTCATGAAATGACCAACTTTATATCTGAAAAAACGCAAATGATAGAAACTATAATTTGTAAAAATTTTTGCGACTACAAATTTATGGCCCATACCTATGATTATATAACTGCTCGTAGTTTTTAAATTTGCGATCGCAAGCGTTGCACAGTAACATTTTAGGCAACGAGAAACTGTAACACATTTTCAACCAGGGGCAAAAAAGCCAATGTTGTTCCGCAGCTTTGTACGAAAGAAATGTTGATTCACAAGCATTGCATTCATAGTTATTTGCTGTTGTATGAATCTTAGAATGTCGCAAGAGTCTCGGAATACTAGTATAAACTTTTTCACAGAACTCGCATTGCAATAAAGAGGAAGTTTTTATTTCTCGGACGCAGTCTGTGTTACTAGTTTTGCAGCATTTATTTGAATGTTTTATCGCCAGATCTTGTCGAGGCCAAACTTGGAAACACTCTGTGCACGTCCAAACGACTTGCCATCGCGGCTGCATTTCGGAGATAGAATGTCTCATGGAATAATGCCTTTTAAGCCCCGTTTCGTACACAAAGCATTTACCACAATTGTTGCATGGAAACCTCATAGATTTAGGACAAACTATATCTAGTATTTCTTCCTTTTTAGTATAATTTAAGGTTCTATTGAGCATGTGAATATTCTCCATAATCCGTGCATTGTTTTCCTTGACTTTCTCGAGACTGTATTCTAAAGGGCTTATGGGGGACTCCAAGTTGTTAATAGCCGTATTTCTACAATCCTGTTGATAGTTTACAGATTGATTTACTAAATTCTGAGAGTTCCCTCGTGTTGTTTCGTCATTGTGGTTATTAAAACTATTAATTTGGTAGTTGATTTCCTCAGGTACGTAAAATGATCTACTGTTGTTTCCCTCAGGCACGTAAAAAGGTGCGATGGAGCAAGATTTTTCAGACTCGTTCTTTTCAAAACATAATAGATTTAAATTTTGTTTGGCGTCGTTTAAATGGAACATTTCCGTTCCATTGTTGTAACAAATATCTGAATTATCTATTTCTCTAGCGCAAGAGTCTAAGCTCAAATTGTTATATTCACAGCCAGAGACTATTTTAACGATTAACCTAGAGGACTTCTCGCTGTCTGTCTTTTTCTGTTGATTCTTGCCATCGATCCATTCCCCGTATCTGACCCCAGAAGAACCGTTGTTGCCATCTTCAATTATTGTAATTTGTAGAGACTTGAAATTAATGCCGGTTTCAAATTTGTGAACTACTAAATTTGCTGACATTTTCGCGAATGTAACTTCGACAAACAATGACATATTACAAAGTTTTTTGTTTTATGGCGATGCTAAATTTAATCAAGGAGTTTGTAATATTTTTTTAAATGGGGCCAGCATACCAGATTACTAAGACTGTTGATAGAGCTTGTAGGTTATTTTAACAATGTTGCAAGTGATATCCATCACATTCGTGTATAAATTTATAAGAATGAATATAATGATAAACGTTCTTTTTTTTTTCAGAACTATTTGTCAGTTCTTTGGGGTAAGCTGGCAAGCGAGATCCTGGTACAAAATTGGGACGGTGCTCTAGACGACTTGACAAAACTACGCGAGTTCATTGATAATGGCGGCGCGGGCGCCACTGCCAGTAACATGCAGGCACTGCAGCAACGCACCTGGCTTGTACATTGGTCTCTCTTCGTATTCTTCAACCACGTAAAGGGGCGGGACCTTATTATTGAAATGTTTTTGTACAAACCATTGTACTTAAATGCCATCCAAACGATGTGTCCTCACATTCTACGTTACCTGGCAACCGCAGTCATTATAAATCGGTCGCGCAGAAATGCTCTTAAAGATTTAGTGAAGGTCATCCAACAGGAAGCTTACACTTATAGGTAATTTTAAAAACTAAAAATTCGACATCCGAGTCAACAACAATATGAACTAATCCTGTTGTTTTCAGAGACCCTATCACGGAGTTCATTGAGCACCTCTATGTAAACTTTGACTTCGAGGCGGCGCGCAGGAAATTGAACCAATGCCAAGCAGTGCTACTGACAGATTTCTTCCTCATTGCTTGCTTGGAAGAATTCGTTGAGAACGCCCGCCTTATGATATTCGAAACTTTCTGCCGTATACACCAAGTTATCAGCATAGGGTAAATAGTACAATAATTAAACTTCATTTTTATCACATTCACTAATAAACCTTAGTCAGTATTGCAGATATTTATTTATATTTGGTAATTATTGCAGAATGTTAGCAGAAAATCTAAACATGCAGCCTGATGAGGCGGAATGTTGGATTGTGAATCTTATCCGTAACGCGCGATTGGATGCGAAAATTGACTCAAAGTTGGGCCACGTAGTGATGGGAGCGCAGCCTCTTTCGCCTTACCAGCAGTTAGTAGAGAGAATAGACTCCTTAGCTGTCCGTTCTGAAGCTCTTACGTCATTAGTTGAACGTAAACATAAGGCCCGTAATCAAGATGTAAGTTCCTGTTTTTATATATATGCAGATGCCTACAATATACTGACATTTGCCAATAGCAATATCTCTAAAAAAGAAGCAACAGTATAAGAATGCCAACAGCCACTTCTAACTTCATCTCCCTCATGAGCTGGCAAACTCAAGGAAGTTTGTAGCGGCCATTGCTTCAATGTCTTCTATTCAGGGTGAGAGACAGTAGCTAGGTTTTTGTTGATGGCCTTCTAATTAAATACCTAATATTGCAGTCTTAATAAGACTAGACATTGACGGCATTGCAGCTACAATGTTACCTATGCTCTAAATGGTATTGCCCTGCATATAAGATTTCTTTTTATTCCAGATTCGTTGGGGAACACAAGAATTCTAAGTATAAGACATAAGATTTTACTACTCTGTTACAGCTGTCACGAAAGTGTTGCAACCTTTTCTCTTGTAAATGGGGGAATTTGTATTAAATATACTTATTCTAATTTATAATTTGATTCTTTGTTTTATTTTAAATGTTATGCTGTGAAATCTAGGAACACATTTTTTTTTATCACTTTAATAACATTTCTAATACAAACATTTATAATGCTATTCTACAGGCTTTATGGTAATAAACCTGGACAGAATAAAGGCAACCAAAATGGTAGACAAAACAAAAAAGAAGACAAATATGTAAAACGTGTCTTCTGAAAATACATCAGTGAACGCTGGGAACGTTTTATAGATCTCTTCAATTACATTTAGGTTTCCTTTAGACCGTGCCATAGTATCTAGCAATCTTCGATTTATTTGGTTCTACTTTACTTCCTTTTACCCTTCTCAGATTTTGTTTGTATTGATTTGACTGGCTGCTCTACTGGAGCTAGAGAAGACACATGTTTATTCATCAATTGAAAAAGTTCCAAACAAGTTAAATTGCGGCTTTTAAATGTTACTTTCTTGATTTGAGTAGTTTCTGAAAAGGAAACCATCAAACAATTATATTTTAATAGCTATTTGATGGAGCCAGTAGTAAAAGCAATAAATGCAAATGTTGGTATTATAATAGAAAATCGTTGTAAGAAGGTACAAAGACTCATTTTGTATGTTGAAAACAATATTGTCACTAAATAAATCTCTTGCTTTTTCAAATTTAAACTCGTTTTCAGGATCTTAAACAGTCTTCCTAAAGTTAACTTTTTTGTATAGTGACAGCATAGATTTCAACATGGGATGTACATTTAGAAAAACTAGTTATATACTTTTATAGAGCTGATAATGAGCTAACAAGATTCAAATAAAATAATAAACTAATAGAATATAATACCTGCAATTACAGGCAAAATAGTGACATCTATTGTGGGCTCACTACGGTCACAAACAATCTCTGTCTTCAAGGAGCAATTGGGGTTGGTTAGCGCTATTCTTGGTGAGCTGATGTAGTGGAGGAAGTCTCTGAATACGAAACAATACAATTTCTTACACTATAAACATACATACATAGGTTAACTGATGTTTCATTAAAATGTTAAAAAAACAAACCAAAAAGGGAACTCCTGCTGGCTTATAAAGTTACAAACGCATGAACATTCATTAATTGCGCTAAATACCTTGTGTGTGTAACGTCGTCGCTGAAAGGATCAAATTTTACTGTAATTCTCTTGGCAGCCTTCAGGTTCACACCTTTTAGTTGTTTTCCAATTGCAGATACGACACCCGCTGACCTTTTTATTGTACCACTGTAGGGGATAGACATAATTTCTCCGAGAAATCCAGGATTTCAAGGGCCGATCAATAAAATAGCCTCGTGTTTTAGTGGTACTTGGTTGTTAAAAGAAAAGAGATACATCCACCTAACATAATGTTAAAATGAGACAAAACATCCAATTTTTGTTTTAGGAAGCTACAAGAAAGTAGAGTTCAAATGTGCGTTCCATTACCTTTAAGAACAGGATAGCTCTATACAAACGTTAATGTGTTAAACTGAGATGTGAATATTGAAATGTATGGCTCCATTTGCATTGATGCTACCTTATTTGTACGTACTTACATAAACAAAAAAGAATATTTCTCTATGGAAATATCAAACGTCAAACTAACGTCAAGGCAATTTTCAGTCCAATTTATCCACATCAATTTTGATCACATTGTGGCAAATTCTACACGAAAATCTTGAAAAAATCTTTAATTTTTAACTTTTCGTTCATTTTATTGCATAACAAGATGTACCCCGTTGGTCAACGTAAGTAATAAACCTTTTAACATTCGCAACACGCGTGTGTGGTACAGCATCATCCTTTGTTTCAATGGCCTAAATAATGTGTTAGTGAGGAGAACGCTCATAATGATGAATGTGGTGACTTAGTTTGGGACGTGCCGATGTTGTTAGTAAACTTTGATGTTGTATTTAAGCAGCTCCAGCGGGGGAGACCAGTGCTGGTGCTGTAGGAGTACCAAGTGTGGTGAGTGCAGCAGCGGGCACGACGGGCACAGCTCCTGGTGCACCCAGCACCGCCCCCACGACAGGCGCGTCTCCTGCCAATGTGTCTAGTGGTCAGGGTGCCGTGTCCCTCGTGTCACCAGCCGCCGCTCCGCCGCCAGAGCTCCCCGTGCTGACATGCCCGCGACGCCCCAACCTCGGCCATGAAGGCAGACCTATTATGCTTAGAGCCAATCATTTCCAAATATCTATGCCAAGAGGTTTTGTTCATCACTACGATGTTAATATACAGCCTGATAAATGCCCCCGAAAGGTAAATGACCCTATTAAATTATTAACCTGTTGTTTTGTTAGATCTGTGTTCTTTATAAATTTCAATTTTTAGGTGAATAGAGAAATTGTAGAGACAATGGTAAATTGTTACAATAAGATATTTGGTGCCCTCAAGCCTGTGTTTGACGGTAGGAATAACCTGTACACAAGAGATCCACTGCCCATTGGCAATGATAGAGTGGAACTTGAAGTGATCTTGCCTGGTGAGGGAAAGGACAGAGTTTTCCGTGTCACAATCAAATGGGTGGCTCAGGCAAGTTTTTTTTTTATAATTCTCACTCATTTCTTAATGTGGTGTTCTTTTTAAATATGTTGCTATGTGTATATTCTATAATTTAGGAGTAATTAGAGTAACATGTAATTAGTTGACAGTAAAATACTTAACTAAATAAGTTTTCTAAAATGATTCATATTTGTGTTAATTGAAGGGAAGCTCAGTTTTATGCTATTATGATTGTCTTTAAAATGGTAATTACACATTTTTGGTAAAAATGCAAATACTCTGCATAACTTTTTATACTCAAAATCAAGTTCTAAGAATAACTGACACGTTTAACATTTTTTGAGCACATTAAATATTGACTGCATAGAATGAGGCCCATAAAACAATAGAATGAGCATTTGAATAATGTGTTATACCCCACTTGGCAGCATGCATCACCAGTGTCATATTAGAAAAGAACTTTTGTGTATTCTGCCCTCATATGAAAAAAGGCATAACTATGCCTTTTTTCGTTCTGAGGGTGGTATTGTCTACACACTTGATGTTGAAGTGCCGTGGCAAGTGAGTCGAACTCTAAAGCTAATATTGAACACTTGGACTTAATGTTATACAAAACCTTAATATTTTAATTACTCATAAATTGCTGTTTTGTAGGTGTCACTTTTTGCTTTAGAAGAGGCTCTTGAAGGGCGCACAAGACAAATTCCCTATGATGCTATATTAGCTCTTGATGTAGTAATGCGACATTTGCCATCAATGATGTACACTCCAGTGGGCAGATCATTTTTCTCGTCACCTGAAGGGTACTACCATCCTCTTGGAGGCGGCAGGGAAGTCTGGTTTGGTTTCCATCAGTCAGTGAGGCCAAGCCAGTGGAAAATGATGTTGAATATTGATGGTATGTAACCATAAAATACATTTAAAAAAACTTCATTACCTTGACTTTGGCAATTTTTTAAAGAGGAAAACATTGTTTGTTTTTGGTGGGCCTACATTTCTATAACACATTTTGTTTCAGTATCTGCAACTGCCTTCTACAAAGCACAGCCAGTCATTGAATTTATGTGCGAAGTCCTGGATATTCGGGACATTAATGACCAAAGAAAACCATTGACAGACTCGCAAAGAGTCAAATTCACAAAAGAAATCAAAGGGCTCAAGATTGAAATCACCCACTGTGGCACAATGAAACGAAAATACAGAGTGTGCAATGTGACACGTAGACCCGCGCAAATGCAATCGTAAGTTAACATACCATTAATTAGCAAATGAAAAATGAAAAATATCTTGCAATACATCTATAAGCATCTGCTCATAGATGGAATAATAATTACTACTATTATTTAGTTTAGAAACAAACCTATTTCAATTTGTAATGATTTTATTAATTATGTTCTATTTATTCATCAACAGAGCACAATACTTCCCTAATGCGTGTTTTAAAACCACAGTATTTTCCTGACTGTTATCTTTTATTATTTAATGAACATGTTTAGGTACAAGTACTTATTATAACATTCTACTGCAGATTTCCGCTACAGCTGGATAATGGGCAGACTGTGGAATGTACGGTAGCTAAATATTTCTTGGACAAATATAAAATGAAATTGAGATACCCACACTTGCCATGCTTGCAAGTAGGTCAAGAGCACAAGCACACATATTTGCCTCTAGAGGTATGCAACATTGTACCTGGCCAGAGATGTATTAAGAAACTCACAGACATGCAAACATCGACTATGATCAAAGCTACAGCACGTTCGGCACCAGATAGGTAATAAGTGATATTGAAAACCCAAACTTTTTTCTTTGAAACAAAAAATAAATCGAATTTTAACTTCCTGGTATTCAGGGATTGATTATAAAAATATGTATTAAATATAAAATAAGATGTGAACCTTACATATGGACAGTATTTGGTCTATATAGTTCTAAAATGTTATGCAGATATTTAATCATATTGCCATATTACTGGGTAATGTGTTATTGTTTTGATTACAATTTAAATTTATCAATTTTTATTATTTATCAATACTTATAAACTATCATTACAGGATTTTGCCTAATGCAATAGTAAGCTATATTTGAAATATCTGCCTATAACTAATCTATATATTTTCATAACATATTACAAACAAAGTTTCCATTGTGAGTTCACTCAAAGAACAAAAGAATATGTCTACATTATTGGCCACCAAATTGAGAATAATGAAATAAATATAGTTATAAGTTCTTAAATATTTTGTTAAAACAGCATACTCATGAAAAACTCTGTATTGTGATATAACAATAATTTAAGCTTAAATATTGAAATCGCACAGAGAACGCGAGATCAACAATTTGGTGCGTCGCGCGAACTTCAACACGGATCTGTACGTGAAAGAGTTTGGGCTGACCATTTCGAACAACATGATGGAGGTTCGAGGTCGCGTGCTGCCACCGCCCAAACTGCAATACGGCGGCCGCGTCTCTTCTCTTGGCGGTCAAGTAAGAATTTCTTTTCCGTACTTTGTTGGTGTCAAACTAATTTTTGTTTTGATTCATCTTAAACTTGTAGAAAAACACTGATACTTCAGTTTTATTTTATTACTAAGTTATAAATTGTACCTGGTTTTTGATCAAAATGTTATGTTTTTGTTATGGTGCAGCAAGCATTGCCGAACCAGGGTGTATGGGATATGCGTGGGAAACAATTCTTCATGGGAGTTGAGATCCGTGTTTGGGCTATCGCATGTTTTGCGCCACAGAGGACTGTGAGAGAAGATGCGCTTAAGTAAGAACATTATACCTTGTTAAATATAAAGTAGTAATTTTAGTTCTAGAATGTTTCTATGAAGGTTTCGTTTTTTGTTTCACTTCATTACAACCTTTTTAGAACCATATCTGTCCTGAATATGTGTAAATAATTATGTATTTATTACTTAGTTCTTCATGTTATTTGAGTTAGTGAGAAAAATTTAAAGCTATTGACATTATAATCAGTGTGAATTAAAAGAATACACTTTTCTCGGACTTTCAAATTCACTTTCATTAATAAACTGCCTTTGTGGCGGAACGGTTACCATGCTGGACTGCCACGCAGAGGTCCCGGGTTCGATTCCCAGACCAGGAATTTATATTCGTAAAGCCTACATTTATTTCTCTAGGCAGTTTGGGTGTAATTTGTCTATGTCCATGACACAATACAGGATTTCCCCAGTGTGAGGCTATGAGTGTGTGCGTAATTTATTATTTAATTTATTTGCTTTCAAACGAATTTCAATTTCACTTTAAAGTGCATTTGATCTACATTACATACTTGCTTAGTCTCAGATAAGTCCAATAGCAAGTTGGCCAATGTGTATTGAAAAAAGTTTGTATACAGATAATTCTAATGCTGAGCATACTTATACAAATAAAAGCCTAAAATGAATTTTACGAGATGTCATTGACCTATTTTCGAAATACATTGATAAGATCGCATTGCCTTTCAAATTCGCAAGAGTAAGTGCTACCAAAAACGACGGAATATATACATCGTAGTATATATAGTATATATTTGTCTGCTCTATTTTTCTAATTTTACGACATATTATTTCGTGTAACCATTATCACTCTTAATGCGGAGTTTTACTACTAACATTATAAATGTGTTTTGGTGAATTTTTATTTCTCAATTTTGTCGTGACGTCTGAACGGATTTAAATTAATCTTTATGAATACATGCATATAGTACTTCACCCATACCATTAATTAGTTTTAAATACCTCTAATACGCAATAGAAAATAAATAAATGATGGAGTCTTTTGTAGGAACTTCACGCAACAGCTTCAGAAGATCTCGAACGACGCCGGCATGCCAATCATTGGGCAACCGTGCTTCTGCAAGTACGCGACAGGCCCTGACCAGGTGGAGCCCATGTTCAAGTACCTCAAGTCAACGTTCGTGCAGCTACAGCTTGTCGTCGTAGTGCTGCCTGGGAAGACGCCTGTTTACGGTAATTATATTACATTATTCAAATTTGTTATTGGTAACCTTTGTTCTTCATTTTTATTTTTTTTATTTAATAATTGACTAAACGGTACCATATTGTTGTAGAATACGTTCATTATACCTAATCTAGGCCTTGTTAACAATAATTGTATATGATTATTGATTATTTATATGCCGCCAGTGATCCATAAACAGTATTAATTATTTCAGAATTTATTTCGGGTTAATTTTGTCTATCATGTGTCAGTCTGTAGAAAGTCACAGCTGAATAAATTTTTGATTAAACTTTCCGAGATTGTCACGACTGTTTTTATTTAAAAGCTGCTCTTTAGTTAATTTTGATATTTGAAAGGGCTTTGAAGTTACAAGATATTTATTTTTATAGGAGTCGAATTCTGGCTGTTTAACACTTCTAATGTTAAATAATACATGTTTTTTTTAAAGGGATTGAAATGAGGTGTGCGAAAATCAGATGCCTTAATCTATATCTTTAAATTTGTTATAAAACGAAGTCTTTAAACAAATAACAACTTAAAACACACATTTTTCATCTTTAACCTTTTTCATCTAATACAGAATTGCTTAGGTCTATAATCCTTTAAAATTCGATTGAATGTCATTAACAGGGCTAACAGGGCGACACTTGTATGGGAAAAGACTTTGCTTGAGTACTCTTCAAATAAATAACAATAAATATTTATATTATATTTTATATAAATATTTTTCGTTATATATCAAACTTTGGCAGGGATGTGTTATGCTATACAATTAAACTATATATATGTCAGCAAGTGGTTTTTTTACCTGATTCTATACCAATAAATACGTAATATTTGTAAACAGCTTTATTATTATTAATTAATATACATGACTTAATTATTTTATCTATTTGTATCCAGATGACTTATTTTCTTTTGCACCTCCCAACTCTGTTTACTATAGTGTTGTGCCCACTATAACAAAAGGAACTGCCTTGTTCCTTAAAATATGTTTGATTTTATTCAGGGACAAACAGTTATATTATAAAAATATTAAATATTACATAATGTCATGCTGCTCCGATCCCAAAATAAGTAACAAAGCGCATGTGTTATCGAAATTGGAGGCAACGACGGTACCACAAACACCTAAACCCGAGCCCGAGACAAAATACAAAAGTTACTTTTCTACATTAACCCGGCCGGGGACCGAACCCTCGACCTCGGAGATAAAAACCGACGCACAGGCCACTCGACCACTGAGGTCGTCGAATTACGTGGTTTGCGAATACTCAGACGTATCTACAATTAATTATCAAAAGTTGCAAGAAGTAACATCTGACACTGATCATCTGAGCTTACATCACTACCCTCTTTTGGCGACAAACTATCACAGAACAGAACAAGAAAGGAAATTATTTGAATATTAAATAAGTAACTTATGGCTTAAATACGATTGATTCGCGCTTAAGCTACAAATATTTGTCTAGTTATATAATATAATATTTGTCGGCGCATTCGCAAAATAGGAGATTAGTGGCGTCACATCTAATCGATGGTCGTCATTAAAACGAATCCAGCGCTACCTAACATCAATAGTAGAACGAACACCAAGCACTGGGGAGGCGGCGATCTTGAGCGGGTTGTCATCCTTGGGTCGTGTTGACGTGCGCACGCATCCACGTGTTTGGTGGACGATATTCTTGAATCTTAATTAATTATAGCTATCCTTTATTGTTTCCTTCAGTTAGTGATTCTAAAATTAAGAATAATAAAAGAAGTAATTAAGATAACCCGTATTTTTATGGAGATATCATCTACTCGGCCAATAATACACGCCTAGCGAGAAAAAAACAAATGGAAAACCCATTGACTTACAATTATATGGACGTCGGGTCCGCGCTAAAAAGTGTCCGAACTTATAGGGCGTTAAAATCGTATACAGAGCGCCATTCACGCTTTAGTCTTCGTTTGTTCGACTGACAGCGAAGCAAGCAAAATTAGACAGTACTGCGATGACATTACAATTTAAATTCAACGTTTTAGCTTTTTCATATTCCTTTACATGTCACTACGTTTAAATAGGTTGACTTGGGACATTTTTTTCGTGGTTTTTGTATTAGACCCGTCGTCCATTTATTTGTAAGTCAATTCGAAAACCACTTTGATAGCAACACGAGTGCCTTCATATTTATTAACAGCTTTATCAATAGGTATATTTATTTATTTACAACACTGTTTACACATATTTTAACTGCCTCTGTGGCCGAACGGTTACCATACCAGACTGCCACGCAGAGGTCCCCGGGTTCGATTCCCGGGCCGGAAGAAATATTTGTAAGGCCTACATTTATTTCTCTCGTGAGTTTGGGTGTGATTTGTGGTTGTCTATGTGTGTCAATGGCACCCGTTATTATTATTATTATTATATTAACCAGACATAATTTGTAAAGCGATTGATAACACAATCAATTGACTAAACCACCTGAGCTTTACTAAATCAATATCAATTTATGTGTGTGTTTTTGATATTAATTCCATATTATGGGTTTCATATCCATTCCTTAAGAAATGTATCGTATATTAACCATCGTATTACCATTATTCCAATTAGCGGAAGTAAAACGCGTGGGCGACACCGTGCTCGGTATGGCGACGCAGTGCGTGCAGGCCAAGAATGTGAACAAAACGTCACCACAGACGCTGAGCAACCTGTGTCTCAAAATCAACGTTAAACTTGGCGGTATCAACTCTATTCTCGTGCCCAGCTTGCGTCCTAAGGTATGTTAATCAAAAGTACCACTTGTAAGAATTCTATACAATTGGCGGTGGAACTCTTGAGACCAATGTAAACCAGTGAACGTCAAGGGAGAGGATATTATATTTGCACTTTTTCTTTTTTGAAATATCTAAGGCGTAGACTTGCAGCCCACAAGTAAGGGACATGCTTGCCGTCGTGATGAAAGGATTTACCAATCGGCGCAAGGTTCTCGCGGATTGTTGCTCAGAAAAAAAAGTTCGTACAAAATGAATAACAATTCCTCAATTATTTTCTTCTAATACAATAAAATCATCCTTATAAGAAGCTGAGTCTATGAGCACTAAAAAAAATTTGATAATTTTTTTTATTGTTATGGTCAAGTCACGCTTGACCAAAAAAATGACTATGCCAAAAGTGTGTGTGTTTTCACAAAAAAAGACCCGATGTTCCTAAGACAGTTTCCTTGTGTCTTCTATGGCTTCGGATGTTCCGATACTGTCCTATTTAAAAAAAACACTGTATGCACAGTTCAACCATGAAGCAAGTACTTGCCTTAAACGTATAATCTTCCGAGAAACAGTTCAGTTAAAAATAATAGTTTGATTCAAATTGCCTTTGTATGTATTGGACACTCTATTTCCATACAAATGTTGTAATTAATCAATCAATCAATGTATCGTATCAGCTAAATTTAAAAATCTTTAACTGATACTATTATCAATATCTTGACTATCGATTTCGATAATATAATATTTGCTTGCCCAACTGTAATGTATATTTCGAAGTCATTCATTTGGCAGATTAGTTTTCTAACAAAATAAGTGACATTTCGTCTCTATTTCTGGTTATATGTATACTCGATGGAGTAACGTTACCTGTGTGTATATGTGTGTGTGAGTGTGTGTGTGCGTGTGTGTGTGCGTGCGTGCGTGAGTGCGTGTGTGCGCGTGCGTGAGTGCGTGTGTGTGTGCGCGCGCGCGCGTGTGTGTGTGTGTGTGTGTGTGTGTGTGTGTGTGTGTGTGTGTGTGTG